GCTTAGGGTTTAGGGTTGGGCTTTTGGGGTTTAGAGCGCCTAGGGTTTAGGGTTCAGGGTGTATGGGCTCAGGGGTTCAGGTCCTTGAAGATTTTAGTGGTCGAGTCTTTTAGAAGAAAGGCTGAAAAAAGGGGAGCGCCAATAATTGAAAACGATTTTGGTGCACACTATAGTATAGCTATTATAGGGCTTTTAATGGTATATGGTTGTAAAAGCGAGCTGCTACTACTTCTTCCCGAACCCTAGACCCCCAACCCCTATACCGCTAAACCCGTAAACCCCTAAACCCTTAAACCCCAAAAAAACCTAAACCCCAAACCCCTAAACCCTAAACCCCTCAACCCTAAACCCAGAACCCCTAACCCCTAACCCTAAACCCCTAACCCCTAAACCCTAAACCCCTAAACCCAGAACCCCTAAACCCCCTAAAACCCTAAACCCTCAACCCTAAACCCAGAACCCCTGAACCCCTAAACCCTAAACCCAGAACCCTAAACCCAGAACCCTAAACCCCTACACCCTAAACCCGATTTAGACTTCATGGTCCGGAGTCTCAACCCTACACCCGAAACGAGTGATCCAAAAAACCCTTAAATCGGTTTAGGGTTTAGGGTTTAGGGTTTAGGGTTTAGGGATCTAAGGGCTTTAGGAGGGACCCTTAATAGGGACCCTTGTAGGTTATGGGGGTCGATATGGAGACTACTTGGCTATATAAGGGGTATATAAGGACTATAGAATGGCTATTTGAGGTCATGGGATTAAGGGTCCCTATTAGGGGTCCCTCCTAAAGTCCTTAGATCAAACTCTAAATAGAGGATAGAGGGTTTGGGCTTTAGCGTTTAGTGTTTAGGGTTTAGGGCTTACTTAACCAAACCGTAAACCCCAAGCCCGAAACCCCAAACCCTAAACCCTAAACCCAAACCTGAACTCCTGACCCTAAACCCTAAACCCTAAACCCTAAACCCTAAACCCTAAACTGTAAACACCACATGCAAAACCCCTGGGATCCGACCTCTGAACACTCTAAACTCGTAAGCCTTTAGGTTTAGGGTTTAGGGTTTATAGGGTTTATAACCCCAGGCTCCAATCCATACGCGGACCCTGAAAACCCGAACTTTTCAAGGACTTAGGGTTTAGGGTTTAGGGCCTCTATCATGAAATCAGAACAACAGACCCCCAAAAAATGTAGGTTTTGTGGGGTCGGGGTAGGCCCTGAGCCAGAAACCCCAAAGCCTACACCAGCCTAAACCCTAGACCCTAAACCGCAAACCCCAAAGCCTAAACTCATAAGCCCGAAACCCTTGAAACGATCTTAGCACTCTAGCCGGCTGAGGCCGTCGGCTTTCGGGTTTAGTTTTTGTTTTTTTGAACAGCTTTCTCCGTCCGCTCGTCTGAGCTTCCGGGATCTGCACTTTGCAGGCCTTGAACCCTTTGCCCTCAGTCCACAGGGTTTAGGGTTTAGGATTTGGGGTTTAGGGTTTAGGTTTAGAGTTTAGGGTCTAGGGTTTGAGGTTTAGGGTTTAGGGCAATTTCCCCAATTCCCAGAGAGCCCAATACCCCTCAACTAAGGAATAGATGTAAGGGACTCCCCGCTCTGATTTAAGCTGCCTTCCTCCACTGAGGGGTATTGAGGGCTTATGTTCAAGGCTTAATGTAGGGGCCTGATTACCCATACTATTTGGGGGGAGGGGGGGTCTCCTTATCATAATTATAGTATATTGGGCCCCAAAACCCTATTTTAATTATTCTGGCCCCCTAAACCCCTAAACCCTATTCTAATTATTAAGGCCCCTATATTAGGAGTTGCATGGTTTATTTCGGGCTTAGGGAAATAAAAGGATGAACTTTCAGATTACTACTAAACTATAAGAACTCAAACAAAAAGTTTAAAGTTTGGGTATAGGGGAACTAAGTTTCGGGCTTAGGGAGATTTCGGGCTTAGGTCGTGCCTCGTAGCCAGTCTGCATCACCAGCCTCTGTGCAGGCGACATGACGCGCGCCTGCGGGACCCTAAAATCTAAACCCTAAACCTTTAACCCTAAACCCTAAGCCCTAGACCCTAAGCCCTAGACCCTAGACCCTAGACCCTAAACCCAAACCCCTAAACCCTAAACCCTGAACCCAGGGTTTTGGGTCGAGGGTGTAGGGTTTGTGGGCTTTAGGGTTTAGGGTTTGGTGTTTAGGGCTTGGGATTGAAGATTTAGGATTCAGGGTCTAGGATTTAGGGTTTGGGGTTTAGGGTTTAGGGTTTGGGGTTTGGGGTTTGGGGCTTAGGGTTTGGTGTGTAGGGTTTGGGGTTTAGGGCTTGGTGTTTGGGTTTAGGGTTTGGGGTTTAGGGTTTAGGGCTTAGAATTATTGGATTTGGGGTTTGAGGTTTGGGGTTTAGGGTTGAGGGTTAAGGGTTTTGGGTCGAGGGTTTAGGGTTTGGGGTTTAGGGTTTACGGTTTAGGGCTTGGGGTTTGGGGTTTAGGGTCTAGGATTGGGGGTTTGGGGTTTAGTTTGGGGTTTGGGGTTTGGGGTTTAGGGTCTAGGGCTTGGGGTTTGGAGTTTCGGGTTTTGGGTTTCGGGTTTGAGATTAGCGCGGGTTATCATAGTCATCATCGATAGGCAGGTTGGAAGTGAACGTGGCGTCTGCCTACCAGTGCGTCGGTGTGTCTGTCTGTCACCTTACCTGTCTGTCTGTGCGTCTGTCTGTCGTCTGTCTGTCTGTCGGTCTGTCAGTCTGTCAGTCTGTCTGTCTGGAGTGGCTGCAGGCTGAACCCTAAACCCCAACACTCAACCACGGAGGATAAGGAAACCCGGACACTACGACATCAGTGACTTCGCAGGCATGGCGTATAGGCTTCAGGTAGGTAACTGCACTGACGCGAAAGAATCACCCACGACCCTAGAAGCCCTAAACCTTGACCCTGACTCCCGGTTCAAGCAAGCCCTTGGCCCCACGCAGCTCAAGGGTGAAAGGTTGATGGAACTACGCAGTTTTCCCTAGACCCTGCTACTGACCACCCGAAGCATTAGACCGTGGGAACCCTAAACCCTAAACCCCCGTCGATAGCCTTGCACGGGCTGTGGTCGGCCGGGAGCTTCCATGATCATCGAGACCAGACCCCAAACCCAGCACAGACTGTCGTCTATCTCATGGCGGATCAGATCACTCTGGTTCAGGATGCGTGGCTGCGGCCGGCCTCCAAGATCGGTAACATCTGTTGGAGCCGCTTCTATAAGACTTTGTAAGTAAGACTAGGAATATATTAAAGTGGTGATGTATGTAACTACAACTGCAATTACCTTGAAACCCTAAACCCTAAACTCTAAACCCAAGCTACCAGCTCAAGTCCCATGATCCTGTAGGTATTGTAGGGGCCTTATCATATAAATAGAATTTGGTTTTGGGGGCTCCTTGTTATAATTATAGCATAGTATACCCCCAATACCCTATTCTAATTCCCTAAACCCTAAACCCTAAACCCTAAACCCCCAAACCCTAAACCCTAAACCGCAAACCCTAAATCCCAAACCCTAAACCCCAAACCCTATTAAAGGCCCCGTCCTTATGGGAAGCTAGCCCTTATAGAACCCTGTAAGGAACCCTTTAAACTATTCCGATTATTAAAGGCGAAGCGGGGACCTCCAAAATTGCAGGATGCCGCGTCTCGCCCCCCGGTTTTCGGTCTGGGGTTTTGAAGGCTCAGGGTTCTATGGCTCAGGGGTTTAGGGTTTAGGGTTTAGGGTTCAGGGTTTAGGGCTTAGGGGTTTAGGCGGCCCTGTAAAAGCTTTTAGCCTTTGATAACAAGTCTACTTCAAACTACGTACACCAAAAACCCAAATTCCCATTCTAATCATTAAAGCCTCTGCATTGTTCCCTGAACCCTCAACCCTAAACCCTAAACCCTAAACCCCAAAACCCCAAAACCCTAAACCGTCCGTTTCTCGTTGGCCTCCTCCTCGGACAGGCCAAAGAAGGCGTTGTCGAACATGATGACATCCTCCTCGGATCCGGGGCCAGAGGGTTTGGGGTTTAGGGCTTATGGGGGTTTAGGGCTTAGGGTTTAGGGCTCAGGGTTTAGGGTTCAGGGCTTAGGGCTTGGGGGTTTGGGTTTGGAAGTTGGGGTGTTGCTTGTTGCACATGGGGTTTTTAAGGCTTTTTGTACACATCCTACTGGTTCTCATAAGGATTCGTTTCGGGTCTTGTGGATTCTGTGGGGATTTCTGGGGCTTCATGTGGGTTATTCTAGGTTTTACAGTAAAGCCCAAAAGTCTGAAACCCAATAGCCTCAATCCTTAAGAGTAATGTATAGGGAATCCCAGCACCATTTGTCCTGACTCCGGTTTCCAACTTTTTGGGGTTTACTATAGGGTTTAGGGTTTAGGCTTTAGGGTTGTAAGGGTTCTGCAACGGTTTTTCTTCCCTAGAGGCCACAAAGGATGGACGGACGAAGTAAGTCAACCCTAAACCCTAAACCCTAAACCCTAAACCCTAAACCCCTAAACCCTAAACCCTAAACCCTAAACCCTAAGTAAGCTGATAAGATCCGATAAGTACCAGAGCCTCACTTGGAGTAACTAGAAACAGAGATTTGAAAACCTCTCTACTAAGTCCCCCGACCCTCTTCGTAGGGGAGGGTTTGGGATTTGGCTAGAAGGCTTGCAGCTTCTAGAGAAAGGGGTTTCTATGCCCCTTGCCAGGAAAAGATTGAGATCAGGTCTTCTTGCAAGTAAACCCTACACCCTGAATACTGAACTCTGAACCCTGAATCCCAAACC